TGTTCTGCAGAGGAAGTTTTCAAGTTTGGGAACAGAGCTGAACTGCTGTAGCCAATAGAGGAGATGCCATGTGCAGCCACCAGGAGTCCTTGTCTTCCACCCTTCCCTCACTCAGCACTCTGCCTCTATTTCCAAATCAATAAAGACTATTTGTTTGAAGGGCACTAAGGTATTGGCCTGATTGGGGTATCTGCTCATGCAACCATGGACCTAGCATTGGCCCCCCATGCCCTGGCTTCCCAGAGCTTCCTTGCTTCCTCCTGCCTGGTTCTCAGCTCCCATTTCCCAGGTTTGACCCTGGCACTGGCCTTGGGATAAAGTTAGACTCTAACTTTCCCTTCTCTAGTGATTTATGTCTAGGTCTCTCAGACCAAAGTTGCCACAATTTTGGCCCTATGGAGCCCAAGGTATGGATCTGCCGTGACTGAACTGTGCTCCAGGACGATGCTTCTCAAAGTTCAGTGTGCATACAACCCCCTACCCCCACCCCAGCCAAAGATCTTGTTAAATTGCAGATTCTCATTCAGGTGGAGCCCAAGATTCTGCATGCATTTCCAGCAAGCTCCCAGGTGATAGTGATGCTGCTAGTCTCTGGACCACACTTTGAGTAGCAAGGCTCTAGGACACATTCCAATTGTACAGAAGTACTGAGAAAACTCAAGTCCCTCCAGGGATGGAGAAGCATTCACACCTGTGTGCATGAACTTGTCTCCATCCACAGTCTGGACTAGAATTAAATAAGACCTCACTTCAAAAACATACACAATCATAGTTAAAAAGAAACGCCAGCAATCAGTGAGTGATTGGTTAATAGTTGCTCGTGGCTGTGCATTTTATGTTCTGGAATTCATTCTGCAGCTGCCTAGAGCTGCAGACGCTGAAAACGTATAGATATGTCAGATCTCACAAAGAAGTTTCCATGAGTGTGTTCTGTGCCACCGTTGTTGGCTGGGATAATCTGGGATTCGCTCATACCTGAAATTCATCTTTGATTTGGCTGGAGTTGGTCTGGGGGTCCAGCCTGCTGATATTGTAGTAGAGAGAGCGGAACTCACACACAGGGATGGCGGTGTTGCCACAGAGACATGCTTCTAGGATGGCATCATGCACAAACACGTATTGCTCCTGCAAAGCCAAGGGAAGAGGGAATGGAGTTCTGGGTAAGAATAGTCAACTGGGAGCTTATTATCCACAATTAAGCCCACGTCTGTGAAGGATGGGCATGATTTGTATTGGAGAATCCTTGCGTTCTATCCTGTAATCCAATGGGTCAAGTTTCCATGTTTCATAGTGATCACCTGAGCTATGATGAGTTTTGTCCCATGGATAAGACTGAACCGATAAAAATTATAAACTACTGGACATGTGGGAACAGGTCCTCTTGGTGCCCTGGCCCTCACCTTTCACCTTTACATGCTGAAAACTGCTTACTGCAAATACCTGAGATTCTCTGCTAAGGGCTTTATTTCTAGTCCAGGAGCACACTTGGGCTGTGTGCAGGGTGTCAGCAGTGCAAAAGAGTCAATGCCCATGAAAATAGCCCTCAACCAATGACAGACGGGGAGCTGGGGGATAAATACCTCAGCTCTCTTTCCCCTTAGGTGAGATAATTTGGAGGTACATGTTCCATACTATCTCCCAGGGTTCCCCATCAGGACTGAGCTCTGATTGCCCACAGAGTGAAACAGCTTGATACAGCATCCTTTATTGATTTCCTTCCATTATATGTCTCACTTCCCCATTCACTAACCAGTATGTCTTGGGATTACCTCCCAATTAAACTGCCTGCACTCAAACCCGTGTCTCAGTGTCTCCTTCTGGGAGAACCTAAAACATGTGCCACACCCTTTCCCATTTCAGTTCTTTGCACATACTATTCTCTTCCTCTGGAACACCACTGTCCCTTTTCTACACCTTCAATGTCTCATTCCCTCTGGAAAGTCTTCTCTAAATCCACCAGGCAGAAGTGGTTGCTTTTACTTTATGCCCTTAATAAATGTTTGTTGAGTAAGTTTTTCCTGTAGAACTTGGCCCATCTCTCTATGGAAAGTGCTTAACCAAAATCCTCCCATTTCTCTCAGGTCGTGGCTCTATAACTGGAGAGAGAGGTGCCCAAAGGTCTACCTCTCCTTTGAGGTCAGGGGCTCTGTATTCCTATCCTATAAGCCAAGGATATTATCTTTGCTGGAATACCCAGTGCCTAGCTTAGGGTTTGATACATAGTAGGTACTCAATAACATTGTTGATAGAATCTCTCCCTTCAGTGACTGAAGCAATTCTTGGCACAAAGTAGGCACTCAGTTAATTCCAGTTCTTCCTCATCCTTCTTTTCTTCATTCAAGGCAGGAATACTATTCAAAGAATCCCTGAAAGTTGCCACCCAGTCCCTGCCTGGATGCCTTCAGCAATGGGGAACTCGCCACCTTTCACCATTGGTGGAAGTCCCTGCACCTTCCATCCTCAAGGTTGGCAGGGGCTTCCTAGCTTCTATGGGTGGTGTCACCGTAGCAAGCCATGCATTCACCCCCTCCTGCTCCTCCCACACCCAGCTCCTTTCTGTAGCATGCCCCCACCCATGGGCCTCTGATCTACCATGCTTCTCCTTGTCCAGGGCTGCAGGTGGCCGGTCAGCTTAGTCCCCCAGGACTCACCTCTGTCTGCACCAGGTTGACCCTCTGGGCCCGGAGCTCGCGCACACAGTTGAAGATGTCCACCACCCCTTCGTTCTCAGCCATGTCGAGCATGGTGTCGATGGCAATGAAGCAGCCAGTCCTCCCGGCTCCGGCACTGGAAGAGAAGGTGTGGTCCGTGTTAGGCGACTTTGGGATGCACCAACCCTGGGGAAGAGAGTAATCCTTGCCTTTGGGGGTTACGTTTTATCAAGACTTACTTATTTTTATTTTATTTATTTAACAAACACTTATTTAGCACTTAGAATGTGCCAGACATGGTTCTAAGTGCTTTACAGATGTTACTTAATTTAATTCTCCTAACAACTCTATGAGGTTATTATGAAGTTTCCCATCCAATTTTACAAGTGAGAAAACTGAGGGACAGAGGGCTTACCTTGCCTGAGGTCACCCACCTGGTAAGTGGTACAGCTGGAACTTTTACCCAGGCAGTCTAGCGACAGAGTCTGTGCTCTTATCTACTTCCTCGACAGTATTTGTAGCGCATAATGCATGCTTAGACAATATTTATGCAGTTTCCTAGTTTGATGGACAAAGATAATCTGTCTATATAGAATAAAGCAAATACAGCATACTGTCTATTTAGTATAATAGCATGGAGCCTGGCACGCTGGAGATGCTTGACAAACATGTCTTTTCTCCCTCCCTTCCTACTTCCCTTCTTCCTTTCCTCTCCTTTGCTTTCTTCTTCAGCAAATGGGTTGATGAATGGAGGCAAGGTAGGGGAGGCAATGGAGAGAACAGAGAGGAGATGAGTGAGACGGTGGAAACCAGAGCCCTCTGATCTGCCTTTCTTTGACTGCCTGGGCACCCACAGTCTTCACTAGAACCAGAAGATGGGCCCATCATAGAGATGACAAGCCAAGGCTTAGAGGAGTGGAGTAGGCAGAAAAGAAGCACTGTATATATGTGAAAAAACTGAGGCTCACAGAGGCCAAGCAACTTGTTGACTTGTAGAGGGGGAATCCTGGAGTGCCATGTGCAAAGGCCTAGGATTGGCTCCACCTGCACCTGCTTCCCTGCGGTCCTGAATCAGAAGCATCATCAAAATGGAACAACTGAAAGCCCTGAGACCCTTGTCAGGTAGCAAGTCTCCTGATACAGACTCTCTGATCAATGCTGTTTTCCTTTAAAGAATCTCAGGCCAAGTACAAAATAGCAAAGAACTCAGTGAGACTCTGTGGACCACATCCAGCCCTTCCAAGATTAATGCTGGGTTCTAAAATCATGGTGCTGAACCAGAGACAAATAAAACATTTGCCTTAACAGTTCTGGAAATGAAGGCCAGGCAGATTGTCAAGGAGACACACTTCAGCTGCGTTTTCACATCTTGTTTTCCTCAAAGTGTCTGTGTCTGACAACGTGGAAATCAAAGGAAATGAAGAGAAGATGAGTGATGGAAGAGGAGTAAAAGCAATATTGGCTGATTATAAATCCAAAGAGTGTAGGTCAGTGGGGACAATCATTCACAGTAGTCTGGAAAATAAGCCCATGGAGACCCATCCACTATTATCTAGAAAGTAAACTCATGGACATCCATCCACAATGGTCTGAAAAGTAAACCCATAGAAACCTGTCTACAATGATTTGTAAAGTAAATTCATGAAATCCATCCATAATGTTCTGGCAAGTAAATCCATGGAAAGCTAGCCACTGTGATCTGGAAAATAACCAATGGAACCCGTACACAATGATCTGGAAATTAAACTCATGAAGCCTATCAACAATGGTCTGGAAAGTAAACCCATAGGAATCCATCCACGATGTTCTGGAATGTAAACCCATGGAACTCAGCCAATATAATCTGGAAAATAAACCCATGGAGACCCACCCACTAAAACCTGGAAAGTAAACCCATGAAACCCATCCACAGTGACCTGGAAAGTAAACCAGTAGAGAGCAGAATCTTCATTCATGGTAAAATTTCATGGTTTGAATTGAGTGAAGGCATGAATTGAATTAAGTAACTTGTATTTGTCTCGGAACACCTCCGTCCACCATAACCCAGACTCCCCAAGAGGGACTCAGTAGACGAGACCTCGGCTTCTAATAGGGAGGACAAAGAACCATCTATTCATCCCTTTTCCTAAGTCTTATCCTTTACACGTTTTAGAGGAAAGAATCATAACATGCCTCCCTTCTTGTAAGGATTGAGCTATATGATACTGTATTTCTGTATCATATAGTAATTAAGTATACAACATTTGGGGCCAGACTTCCTGGGATCAAATCCTAGCTCTACCACCTATTAGCAGTGTAACCTTGGCTAAATGACTTAACCTCTCTGATTTCAATACCTGCATCCATTCAAAATGAGGCTGATAATAATAGACTGACTTTGTAGCATTAATGGCACAATACATGGAAATTTCACAAAATTAGGTTTTAAAAGCATAATGCATATAAATTGCTTAGGCTGTTGGTGCCTGGCAACATAGAAAATTCTCAATAAATAGTTGCTACTTATATTCCATAAATATTTATTGAGAACCTATTATGCTTTAGATGTTGGGATTGGGAGTGGGAATATGAAGATTAGTAAATCATGGTCCTTGTGCTGAAGGAGTGGGGACAACATTACGGGACAGTGAATGATAATATTTTTAAGTGCTTACTATATGTCAGGAATTTTCTTCTGTGCTTAGTATGTGTTAACCAACCTATTTAATCTTCAGAGTTGCCCCAGGAGTGGGTACCACTCTTCCCAGGGGCATTAAGCTGACTTACTATGGAGATACAGATGTAGAGCTATCATGCACCCATTGCCGTCAAGTTGATTCTGACTCATAGCGATCCTATAGGACAGAGTAGAACTGTCCCACAGGGTTTCCAGGGAGCAGCTAGTGGATTTGAATTGCCAACCTTTTGGTTAGCAGCCAAACTCTTAACCACT